TATATATATATATATATATTTTAACCCATTGGAAGGGCTAGAATTTAATATAGACGGAAAATACCCACAGGTGGTGAAAGTATGGGACAACAAGCAGTATAAACTGGTACAATTCCTTAGCAGTGGGATTTCAGATAGTTTTTTTCCTTATAGTTTTCGATAGTGCTCTTTTAAAAAATGAGCTTTTAACATATAAGTCATGATGCTATTGTCCTCTGAAATAAAATCCCCAAATTACAGACATCTATGTTACACATATATACATATGTACTTTCAATAGAATGCTACTATACTTGCCCTAGTTCAGGGCCAAATCTTTCTGCCATCTACTTTTTCTCCACCTTGTACTACAATCTGATGCTCCTGAAAATAAAACTGACTCCGTCACTTCCTTGCTTGAGACTCTTCAGCGGACCCCATTCCAGGGCGGGCCGCTCAGCACAGAGAACAAGAAGGTACTCTCCCAGATCTGATGCTGTCCGCCTCTCCTCCCATGTCGTGCTTCACACTCAACTGCACAGCGCTTGCGATCTCTGCAGCTGTTTGCCCTGCTCCTTTACTCATTCATTTGCCTGGAATTCCCACAGCCCCTTCCCTGCCAGGGTGCCCTGGCCTGAAGTTCCAATAGTTCCTCGGGCTTATAGCCATTATTTCACTTAGCACAGAGCCTAGAAATCCTAGTCCTCTTCCTCCTTACAAACCAGGGTCTCCTTAAGTTTTGTGTCTGCTGTACCACCACACCACCTGCCTGGTGAATAGAATGCTTAACATTTAAAGTGCTTTGTTCATTATCCTGTTTTCCTAGTTGATACTTCATCTCATTTTTGCTCATTGTTTGGTACTTTCATGATTGAGTTTAGAGAAGTCTTTGCGGTTATACAGACATCACATCAGAATCTGAGCATCCTAACTTTTTAACTGTATCTTTCTCTGTAAACCAAAGTTCATCCTATACACCCTTAGAAACTGACTATAGATCTAAATGAATTTAAATAAGAATCGTCTATCACTGGTGTTTTCCTTTTGAAAAGGAAAATAGCTGAAGGCTGTTGGACATGACTGCCAACTGACCCATTAGCTAAACTTGGACAATCGGAGGCTGCTCACCCCTCCCCTGTCCTTGGGATAGACGTTCTGCCCACCGTCTCACGGTGGGAGCTGTTCCGAGGACACAGCTTTGGGAGAATAACGTGCTGTTGAGACCTCCGGATGGTATATGAGGCCAATTAAGGCCTCTTTATAAACTTAAGATTCTGGTGGGTGGATGCAGAGATCTGTTTACCTGACAGCCTGCCTCTCA